AGTATAAGGGATTCGAACTTAAGACTTTTTTCAATATTAAGTAGGAAAAAAAAATACCATTAAACAAAGAGTTAATTGAGATTATACAAGCGTCGGATGAGTTCGGGTTTTTTTACTATAAGGGTACATCTGAAGCCCTGTCACCATCTTGAGTACTGTCCCACGGCATTAATTTCTTTATCTGTGGTAGGGATGCATCCCCATCATCACACATGGCTTGGTGTTTGTTTCCCGTGAGTTTGATGCTTACGTTGAATGTATGCACAGAAATATGAAGTATGAAGCATTTATTGAACATGGCAAAATAAGATGAAATGATCTCCAGTGGAATGCGTAATCCAAACAGTATTGTAAACACTTCAATCAATGAAGGCCCAACTTGAACTCTTGACTCGGCTTAACTCATCCAAAGGCTTCTTGGGCTAAACCCAAATCCTTAAAGGGCACAAATGTTTGCTTTCATATAAATATGAAACAATTTCTAAGGGAAGAACACAATAGAAAAGCCCAATAAGGTAGGGATTGGAAAGACAGTGGGCTCGCCACCTATGCATGAAGCTAATCTATGCCCATAATTCTTCTTCCTTCACTCCCTCTCCGCACGTACATGGAACACAAAATGCATCATTTGGAGACACATGTAATGTCAGTGGGTTTTTTTTCTTCTGGTAGCACATGCTCTGTTAGTTGTTGTGTTAGTTGGGATCATTTGCATAGAAGACTTGGAGTGAATTTGTAATGAAAGGACTGGTTTGGTTAGGAGAAGCTACTCTCTTAGAATTAAAATGGTTGCTGGAGGGAGGGCCACCACAGAGAGAGAGGGGGTCAGTGGACAGTAGAGAGAGAGAGGTTTAATAATGAAATAGGAATGGTAAAGATAGCAATGTTTGGATTATGAGAAGCAAAACATGGAAAAGGCTGCCAGAAGAAAGGATGGAAATGTAGGAAATGAAGGGTCGGGGGTCAGAAAGCCCCAAACCCGTCCACAACTTTTTCTCTATCTTGTCATTGTCACTGTCCTTGTGGTCCCTTTCATTTCCCTGCTGCTGCTCTATTTCTCCCCGCTTTCATCCCTCATATCAAATCTCACTCACTCACTCACGAATATAATTTACACAAACATCAAAAAGAATCTACATCTACCCGAAATCCCTGACCCAATTATATTTCTGAAACGCAACGGAAAATCAAGTTAACGGACCATTGCTCCATTGGTTTCTGATGGCCTTCCTTGTCCTCCGGCGGAGCTCACCCATCAGTCATTAGTTTAGTTCTTTTTGGTTGTGGGCTTGATTCTAGTTTGCCTGCATCTTGCTTGTAGTTCTGTCTTGTTTTTGCTGGCGGCTTTGGCGCAATTCAGACCCAAAAAACAAAAAACAACAAAGCATAAATGAGAGAATTTGATGCGTCATCGAGGTGTATCTCATTCTGTCTATAGCATTCATTAAGTGATCTTGTTGTGTGATCAGGATATATCTAACATTCATCGCATAATGAATGTTGTAAAGTATATCTTTCTTTGTAAGTAACATACATTCTACAAAATAAAATTCACACACATCAACGACTAAAAACCAGTCACGAGCACAAGCACCACGGATAACCCTACCATTCTCCATGGCACACATATTCCACCAATGTTTTTGAGTACTAATTATGTGACTCTGGCCCTTCCTATCAACACTACTGTAACCAATAAACCCCAAACACACACACACACACACACACAAAAGCTCTCTTTATGTTGAGTGTCTTAAAGTTGAAAAGTGGTTCAAAGAAGTGGGAGGGTGTTTCCTGGTGGCTGACAGGCTTTGCGTCAGATAAGCACAACCAAATTAGCAATTTGCAAGTAGCCTAGCATGTAGCAAGCAAGCTGGCTTTGGTTTTGGCGTTCGAGGGTAGGGTAGGGAATCACATGACGTTTGGATGACATCAACTTTCAAAATAAAACAAAAAAGGAAAACTTAAAATTTAAATCAGTTTCATTGCGTCATTAATTAACACAAAAACATAGGGCATCACACAAAATTGAGCTCTACTTATATTATTCTCAGCATCATTTCCTCCGTACACAAATCTTTAGTGAAATTTGGACACCTTAGTTTATTTAATGTTCGCTATTATTTTGTAGGCCAATTTTAGTACTGAATTTTAGAATCCATTTTCACTTTTATATGCACATTAAAAAAAAAGTTAGGAGCTAATAACATGATCTAGCAAGTGAAAAAAGATCTAGATTTGCAGACTAGTAGTCTCAAGTTCGAACATTCATGTCACCTTAATTGTGTGCGTGTGTGTTTGAAACCCCTTCCCCCTTTTAGTTTAGATAATCACTTGTATTTCAAAAAAAAAATTTGAAAATGCACCACTCTTTTGCTCATACATGTCTTAAGACATAAATATCCGATACATGTACACTTGCTAATCCAACGGTAATTTCTTCTATATTCCATATCCGACAACATTCACTGGACCGTTAATTACATGATTTAACAATTCACTAAAAACTCATCTACCTTAGGCCAAATTTACAGTGCTTGTTGTACAAATCTGTTGCTATTTTTCCCTTTTTCTTTAGACTCTCTCATGTGTGTGTGTGGACCTGAAGATCTCTGTCACGTGTGAAACTACCAGTAGAGAGTAGAAGGAGCCCACTCTAGCAGACAAGTCCACATCAACCCAACATATCAGTCCTCCATACTCCAATGCTCCATGCTGAGGGTGAGTGTGTAACGGCCAGTTGACGAGTCCAATCCTGCAGAACCCAATCCAATCCAATCCATCCACACTCTAAAGTTAGTTGCTTCTTCCTTATCCTTGTAATGGCATCATCATGGCATGGTTTAATTTAATCCATCCACTACTACTACATATTGTGAGAAATCACTTCATATATAACATGATTTTGACACTGCTTAGACTCAAACATACACAATTATTAAGTAAGTTGAAGACAGAGACGAGAAAACCAATATACAATACGATGAATTAATTTGTGTTCTCCAAGGGAAATCTTATGAGTATGAAGGATTATTGGAAGTTATTGCACATGATCTGCGGTTCAATAATCGAAAGCGCCTATTTCTTAGGTTCGCTTGAATGATTATTTATCCAAAAAATCAATCAAATCAGAAATAGTTTAGCCAGGTAATTACCATCAAAATCATTTCAAATTTATATGATAATTTATTTCATTTTTAACATGTGGTCCAATGACCCGAATCCTTAAATCGTCTCAATTTGAAGATCACCCCTTTCGGAAAATTAGTTAATTTGAAAGCCATGACATTATGTAATTTTGATCAAGCATGTATACGGATATAGTGTTTACCATAAATATTGAAATGATTATATTGTTACTCAAATTGATAAATAATTTCCGATTTTATTGACTTTTTCATAGATGTATGACCGGAGAACTAAAACATAAACAATGTCTTAGAAAGATAAATGGCCACATACATACGATATTTGATATTCGAGATGACAAGGTTTATACTAGCTAATCATCAATGGCCACATATATATGATTGATGAACAAGCAAAGTTCTGAGTTTGAGTCCTAGAATATGTGTAGCTAGTATGTGTGAGTTTGGTATATTATCGTTCTCTCTCAATAGAAAAGGTCATCAAAGAAAACTAAATCTCTTAAAATTCCCAATTAAATGGCAAAAAAGTAATGGCACTTAAACGAAACTTGGATGAAGATGAGATGGCGTCCAGGTCGAGTATATGGTATATGGTACTGTGAAAACAAGTCCATGAGAAGTTGAGATAGAATGTCCTGAAACCCATTGATTTGAAAGTTGTTGAGGGTAGAAGACGTCACATAGACACACACACACACATGATGTCTGAAAATGGAGGGCACGTAGGCAGCTCCCAAAAATGCCGACAGCTTAAAATCAGTGTCCTCATGAGCTACCTCACCTGTGTTGCCAGTTCTTGAAGCATATATCAACCCCACCTCTTGATCCCCATCCAGCCTGGATCGCTTGTTTGATTTGCCCTCATCACTCCTACTCATCAATTTGTCCCCAAACAATCTCCCTTGTTTGATATGCATATTTTTCGTTTACCTTACTAGCGAGTGGTCTGTAGGGTAAGATCGAGAGGGTAACTCGATATACTCAATTCGAATTTGACCGGCTTCAAATAAACTGAACTCGAATTCGAATTATATGCAGAAATTTGGTTAAGTTCAAATTTGGTGAATCAAAGTTAAGCCGTGCTTCTTCAAAGCTACCTAATTATGAATTTTCTATTTTCTTTTAACTATTCAACAATACAATAAACTCTTATTCATGTGATTTAAATTCTGAATCCCTAGTAACAAAATGAAGATTAAATGTCGTTACCCGAAAATACTCGTTTTAGGAAATCTTTTGAAATTGTACTGTGGTGCGATTTGAGTAGCTTTAGATACAGGGTAGCAGGTCTACCATTTACTAAACATCATCCCTTCTAGTACTATGTCATTTTTTTGGGGCAAGTGGTTTTCCTCTTTCTCTGCCATTTCCCTTTTCTACTTTCATGCTATTACTGAGAAAATGATTCCCAATCTCACTTTTACCACAAAGAAAAAAGGAAACAAAACACAACAAAGTAGTGTTTCCACATAAAAGGAAAACAAGAAACAAGAACCAAAGTGCATGCCATTATGCAATTAGCATGAAATGCCAAGAAGAAAGTTAGAAGCAAAGCACCAAAACAAGTAGGGATTTCAAAAATTAACCCTAGTTAAGTATTAGGGATAAAAAAAAAAATGAAAAAAAAATTGAAGTAAATGAAAGAGAGAGGTTTAGAGTAAGATATGCATAGAGGGGAATTGATGGCCACAATTCTCCACCCCTCTCTTATCTTCTCCTCCCTGAGAAACTTTAAAAATTAAAAAAGTATTACCCATTACAAAACAAACAAAAAAAACCCAAAAATAAAAATAAAAATTAACAGTTTAAGATTTAAATATTACTATTACACAACACAAACCAACACTTGGATGTAATACGAACAAACATTTAGCACTTAGTCATTTACAAATGTCCATCTCCAGTGGAAGAAGCTTTTTGCTGTTGATCGTCTTCATAATCCGTTTCTTGGGCTCTTCAGCAACCATGTAGATCTTCACCTCTTCATTTCCTCACCAAACAATCAAAGAAATCGAGAGAGAGAGAGAGAGAGAGACAGACAGACAGACAGACAGACAGAATGGAATTTGAGGAGCACGAAGAGCACGACGAGGAGATGGAGATGGAGATGCAGGCGGCGCCCCCAGGTTACGACTCGGCTGCGGCGAGTTCTAGGGCCAAAATGGGGCCCGCCCGTGAGGGCACCGTCTCCACCGCAAGAAAGAGGGGGCCCACCGCCACCGCGGCAATCACCAACACCACCACCACCCTCACCACCATGGTCAGGTACAGAGAATGCCTCAAGAATCACGCCGTCAGCATCGGTGGTCACGCCGTCGACGGCTGCTGTGAGTTCCTGGCTGCCGGGGAAGAGGGAACAATGGACGCGCTCATATGCGCCGCCTGCAACTGCCATCGCAACTTCCACCGCAAGGAGCCCGAGGGCGAGCTGATTCATCACCACCAGGGTGTTACTACGGGGCCCTACCACCAGAGCGGTGGGTCCCACCACCACCTCCTTCAGCACCAATTTTCTTCGGGTTTCTATCGCCCACCGCCACCTCCATCTGGCTACCTGATCACCTCTCCGCACGCAAGGCCCACTATGACCTTGCCTGCGGCATCAGGCGGTGGCGGTGGGTCTCATAGTAGGGAGGATGGTGAGGATGTCTCAAACCCCAGCTCAAGCGGCGGTGGCGGTGGAGGAGGAGGAGGATTTGGGATAAATAAGAAGAGGCACCGGACCAAGTTCACGCAGGAGCAGAAGGAAAAGATGCTGGAGTTTGCGGAGAAAGTTGGGTGGAGGATTCAGAAGCATGACGAGGCAGCGGTGGAGGAGTTTTGTGGAGAGACTGGAGTGAAGCGACAGGTTCTCAAGGTTTGGATGCACAACAACAAGCACACCCTCGGTAAGAAATTAGGGCCTTAAGTTAATTGATTAACCATTTTAATTTCATTTAATAGCTAATTAGCTAGCTTAGCTAGCTACCTAGCTAGCTCAGAAGAGTGTTGCAGTGTATGTTGAGTTTACCCAGTTAGATTATCATCACCCATTCATGCATGTACGTAAGAAAGAGGGCCTCCTTGCAAATTTATTGTGTGAATGGTTTTCCTTAATGTAGTGTTAATTCATGGTAATTTTAGTAGCTAGCTTGGCTAGGGTTTCATCGCCAGGTTCTAAACTTTTAATTAATTAAATCTTCTTCTTCAGTGTTTTTGCTAATTAATCTCTGGCTCTGGTTCTAATCTTAAGGTTAATCATGGTGTTCTTAATTGGGAATTTTGGTTAAGCATCTTCTTTCTTTGTTGCACATTGCCCTAAAAACCCAAAACAGCTCGGCCATTTTATTCCATGGAAGTGTAACTTTTCTCCTTTTCTTCTTTTGGTGAAACAAAAAGGAAAACCAACATAAAGGGTAAGCTTAATTATGCTAAGATAACCTAAATTGGGTTGTGATTAGTTCGCATTACCAAGGAAGCAGAGAATTCCAAAAACTCCAATCGAAACCTGTAATTTTTGGCATGCAAAGCAAACCTGAAACCTGCTATTTTTGTATTGTTTATTAATTTCTTTTGGATTAGTTCTGAGTTTTGGGTTTCGGACGTTCATCCACATTTGTCATCTTATCCTTATTTGCTTCCATGATCACCGCCTTAGCTTTACTCTCTCTTTATCTTTTCTCTCTCATATTAATTTGGCTCAACCTCCATATTGCATTAATCTCTGGACACATCCAGCATGAAACTGAAGAAGCTGATCAAATTCACCGATTTTTGAGCTTAACGGACACATGTGATCTCATCAGATGAGAGCATCTATTTACAGCGGGGTGTACTGGATTGGTTTAATAAATTTGTTCTTTTCTTTCTTAGAAAAAACATTTTTTTGGATTTTTTTCTTTCTCGAAAAGCATTATGCATGCGTTAACGACACGTAGCATGCATGCCGATATCACGCTGTAAGTTCACATAAATTATAACACGTATATTGAATTTTGAAATTAGTCAAACTGCTTTCGTTTACATAAATTATAACACGTATATTGGATTTTAAAATTAATCCAACTGCTCTCGTTTACACAAATTATAACACGTATATTGAATTATGAAACTAGTCAGGTTGCTCTCGTTTTCTTAATCCATTCAGCTTGTGTTTCATCTTCTTATGCTGGTTTATTTCTTCTTTTACTTTGGTGTTATATTTACATTTATTGTTTTTTTTTTATAAACAACTTAAATAATGAGAAGTTAACTTCATATTAATGCAGTTAATTATCAAAATTTCTTGTTTTACATATGCACTAATTTGGACTATATGGGGAACTCTGTGTTCATCTTTTGGTGTGCTCTGATAATTTAACGTTCTTCCACTAAAAAAGAAAGTGACAACAGTTACCATTATTTGATGACATTTGGTGATTAAAGGCTTTAGTCACCAAAAATGCCTTTTGTAGTGTTCTGAGCCATAAACCTAGAAAAGGGTTTAACAAGTAGTTGAGTACGTCCTTAGGATTATAGTCAATTGAAGAAAATGCCCCATAAATTGTTGGGGGAGGCCAATATGTATTTAGGTTGATCATTTCTCTTGGAACAATTTTTTTCCGTTATTTGGTTAATTACTTGGAACAATTTTAATCGATGTTTGTGACGAGCGAGGCTCAGCTGCGTATGGAGCATATGATCAATGGATGAATTTGATATTTTTGAGTAATCTTTGATTAATTTTAGCAATTCAATGTCAAGTCCCCAATTAATTTCTTTCACGCTGATCAAAAAAGGAAATTAAGTTGCATGAACAGGTACGCTGCTAAGAGTTCAAGACAACCTACTTAGACCTCCAAAACACCAGAAATAATGGGTTGCTAGATAGTTTGACTCTACAAAGTTCTTCTGTTGGAGAGTTCTTGTCGGCTTGAAAAATTTTGGGGTTAGGAATCGGGTCCTTGATCTCTTAGAAATAACAGGTGTGAAATGAATAAATGTGATCGAGAAACACAAAAGTAAACCAATCACAAAGAAGATTCACTCGTATGAGCTACGCCACTGAGTTACTATGAGATTCTGACTACAGAATAAGAAGGAGAAACAATTACAAGCACTTAGGTGTTTTTTTCATAGTTACTTCTAATTAGGGTTCGCAAGATTACCAATACAACTCCTAGCACTCCTTCTCTCGGAGCATCCTGACTGGTCTGTTTGGACTATAACTTTCCCATGGAATCATTAATTCTTCAGTTATGAGAGGCCTCGATATGTTCATCTAAAATAACCTTCAGAGATTCAGCTTCTCTTCAATGTCACTCAACACGTTTGTAGGTTCACCAAACCACCCATGGTCATCTTCAATTAAACAACCGCGTAATCGTCAATTTGTGACCTCCATTGCACAAAGTCTATCAACAAACTTGTCTACTCTCTTCTCAAGGTCGCCTACGTTCATCATTCAACTTGAGTTTAAAGTTCTAATACCAGTTGTTAGGAAACATGTCTACTCTCTTTTCAATGTTAGATGTTAATATGGCATCACATGTTTAAATCGGGTCTATATCTTTAATAGTTGATATTCAGAGTATGGCAATATAACATGACGATATAATGTGCACAATCGGTGGCAAAGCCAGGATTTCATCTGTGTGGGGGCCTCTTATAAATTATAAAAAATAAAAAATTTGAACTCATCATAATACATACAAAAAATAGTGTATATATATCACATGTGTCAAGAATTATATTGCTTATTGGTTGCAATCATAATTGTTCTCGACAAAGGGATAGACAAATACATTCTAAGCAAGAAAATTTGCAAGAGATAGATAAAGAGTAGCGATTTAGCAAATATCTTTAAAGCTTTTTCCCCCATTAAACCCAATATAAAGAAGAAAAAAAAAATCAAAATTTCCCAAATTAGAAACAACCTTAGGTCCCTTTATGCATTCATATCATACATGAAAAAATATTGACTAAGTATGAAAAATGGTTTTTCAGAATAATCATTTTCTCAAGATAATTTTTGGCGGCTTTTATTCTTTACACATGAAATCAGAAAACTTGATTTTATGGGATTTAGAATGAAGTATATATTGACTTAATGAGCCATCATTTTTAGCATAAATCGTATTTTACACTAAAATCGATTTTTCATATTTTGATTTGGTGGGAATTTGATTTTCTAGTATTTTTATTTGAATCCAAATAGGGGGTACTTCCTTATTTACATTGTAAACTTAAGTAAATGGAGTAATATAAAAATAAATTAAAGTCAATGGACAAAGACATTTACTTAAATGTTGAAAATGAAAATAAGGTAATCTGTACATCTGGAGTGTATCACCACTAGCTGGCAAGGGCGCAATTTGAACTACCTCCTTGTGCCTTAATAAGTCCGCCACAATACATGTGGGTACATATCAAAACGTAAAGTATTTGGAATAATATACAAATACAAATACATAACAGTATATTACTTTTAAAATATAAAAAAACTTGAGTTAGGGCCCGGGACCACACTGGTCCCAGTGTGGCTCCGCCCCTGTGCGCAACTATATTGCCAAAAAAAAAAGCGGGTTCTTAAAATATACATATGTACCACCTCAAATAAGATCTACATTGTGGACCTTAGAGCCCATTTACTTTTGTTAGAAGCGCTTGTATCATAAGAACGACGATAATTTTTGGTAAAAAATTGTGTTTCTTAAAAAAGCACTTGTATGACCCATAAATTTTTTGTTTTGTTTTGCCAAACATAGTTAAAATCATTTTTGCTTGTCAAAAGGCAGAACAATGACACCATAAAGGATAGATATATGTATTTGACACGACACGCATACATCATATATAGTTTAAAAGATTAGACATTCTTATAATATGTAGAGAAAATATTATTTTGATACAAAATTGTGTTGACATTGTAGTCTTCTGTTAGTTTAAGGGAGAAGAGGTTAAAGAATGGTTGGTTTAGTGTTTTGGACAATAGCTTAACTTGGAATGAAAACTTTTGAAAGAGTAACAAAGTAGTCTTTATTTGAATGGAGGAGAAAAGGTACAAAGCTTTGATATAGGACTTAGTGGAATATAGGACAGCTGCTAGTTTTTTCTGCTTTTAGCTTGATTACTTTGAGGGGCTGTAGGCTTATTTATAGGGATACTAAGTCGGCAACTTTGCTTTGGACAAGTCGGTTGTACAGTAACCGACTTATCCAAAGTCATTTTCAGCCACAGGTTGTATTTTAATTCTAGATTTCTCTAGTTATAATTATAATAAATAATTATTAGATAGTTCTAGTAAGAGTTGGCCATCTTTTTTACTTGATAATTCTCTCAATTATTCTAGAGTTTTCTAGTTTTATCACACAAGTTTGTATTAATATTTAACACCTTCATACAAGCCTTATTGAGCTTTGCAATCCGAGAATGATTTAGTTTAGAGCATAAATTTACATCCCCGACAAGCTAGCTCTAACAACAATATATATCCTTCGATTGCTTAAAGCAGCTCTCTGTCTATGTATGTGAAACCATTGGTGTAAAAGCAGCCTAGTTTGCGAAAGGTTGTTTTTGTTGAAGAGCTAGTTTTTCCAACACGTTAAACATGCAGAGATATATATACGGTGAAAGTCGTAAAGAATACAAATTATAGCCAGTGGAGTGTTTGAAGGTGTTGGAAAAAACGATGTGAAGTTGGATCGACTTGTTGCTGCTTTATTCTAAACAGGTGGGCTCTATCTCTCTGTTCCCCTCTCTGTCCAAGGAAAAGAACTGACCACAAAATACAAATTGGACTGACATTACAGCTATTATATCTGCTTAAATAAATGAGTAGCATCATTGCATTTTGTTTGTGAAGTCAGCATATATTCCCCCCCATCTACCAACATTTAGCATTTCCATCTTACCTTTTTAAGACCAAGAAAAGCTCAAGATGAAAAGAAAAACTTCTGGTCCGCTCGCTGCCACTGTCGTCAGCATCAGCTCATGCCAACGTTCCTCCGACTAAACACCCATGAAAGTCTCTCACTCTCTCATCGCGATGGTGAGAGAGGATAGACCGATGACTTTTCCGGCCTCGGATTTGGAAGGATGGGGGATAGGGTGGGTGGTGTCGGACTCAAACATGGCAGTCACTGTTCTAATTTCTAAATCTCCAACATCCTAACAGCAATGTGTGAGATGAAATATAATAATACCAACAAGAAAATGCCAAATGCCAAAAGGTGATAATATTAATAGAAGTGGTTTGGTTCGGTCTAGGCAGTTTCTAAATAGCCCAAACCACACCTACCTAAGCGAAATCAAACCGACTTAAGCCAAACTAATTACATTTTAGTTCGATTCGGTTCATGATTACTTTTGTTTTTAGTGTAGAAACCTAATGCTCAGATCGGTTTGATTTGTCTGATTTGAAGGTTCATGTGGTTTTTTTGTCAACCTCTAATTTTAAATAGAATTCATAAGCTAACATGTTGGGTGTTTAATGTATATACATCATTATTTTATTTTTTTTGCCAAAATTTGGAAGGGAGAAAGGAGGTATGATTGGGGTTGGAACCTAATTTTTAGGCCTAGAGTGGCTTTGGCCCTCTCATATTTTTATTAACCCCTAATTTTAAATAGAATTCATAAGTTCACACGTTCTAGGCCTGGAGTGGCTTGGCCCCCCCATATTTTTATCTCTCCTCTATTATATTATATAAAACATATAGAATTTGTAATAAATAATTTATAATTTAAGTTATAGTTTCCTTCAAAACAAATTAGACGTGACTCAATTATAAATATTTAGCTCTAAATATATAATTATTGAATACTTAAGTGTTTTATGTACTTGTATTTTCTACTTCGGTCTCTAACTTTACAATTCTAGCTCCGTCTCTACTTAAAACGTCTAATGTACATGAAAATGCTCTTACTACTAACCCCTTGGCAACTAGAAAAATACCAATTGCACCTAAGTTTTTGTCACAAGATTGATATAAAACCTAGTGAGGAAATGTGTGGGCGTGAGTCGTTGGGGGCCAAAAATAAAAATGGCCCAATTTTCATTTCATATGATATGAGGGCCAAAAAGTAGCTTGTGTTTCAAGTCAGTGTCCAATCCCCTTATTTTCTTCATTTGGAGTAACATGCTTCCATAATCCGTGACTGTCGGCGTTTGGAGAGAAGACACCCACTCACTATCTGTTTCCCTTTTCTCTGCTTTCTAGATAGTGTCAAGTCAAGGTTGTTTTTTCTTTTTTCCTTTTTCTAATGGTTTCTGTCTGGTTGCTCTCATTCAAACGAAGCAACGGGCTTGAGCTTGACCGAAGTCTAAGCCTTGCAGGGTTGGCCTGGGTCATTCCATTAGTGGCTTTCAAATAATCGACCTCGTAGACCGGGCTCCAAATTAGGTAATGATTTAGACA